ATATATATATATATATATGTATGTATATAATGTATATATATATATATATATATATATATATATATATATATATATATATATATATATATATATATATATATATATATATATATATATAATGAACATATAATGTTTGATCTATATTTGTTATCCTAACTTGCCATGTCTTTCAGGTTGGGCCAGTAGTCAAGTTATGTATGGGCATCGAGCCTGCCTTTTATGTTGACAGTGGCCCTCCGTCATTCTGCTTTAATCCTTGTGGACATATGGCCTCTGAAAAGACAGTTAGGTAAGTTGGTCTGTTCTTTGATTGTACATTCATTTTTGTCTTGTCTCTATATTTTGTGCATCTCATTAATGGGGTTTTGTATATTTTTTATATTAATGTTTATTTGTATTATTCAGGTTGACATTACATTACATATTTAGAATTGAATTGATAATGGGTACTTTCCTTCCTTGGACAGGTATTGGGCTGCAGTACCTATTCCTCATGGGACCAATGGGTTTCATGCAGCTTGTCCATTTTGTGCTTCACCTTTAGAAGGTGACCCAGGCTTTGTCCGACTCATTTTTCAAGACAACTGCGACTGAATTCCCTCCTGGCATTACACACACACTATAGAGTTATCATTGGACAACCTTTGGAATCATATCATCACAATCCTACAGTTTGATATGCACGATGTCCTCTTTTGTTGATCAGGTTTTAACAGGTGAAACTCAATTTGTCAAGACATATATATCGTTAGACTTGTTTTATGCAACTAGAATATATTGCTTGTTGAACTGTACAATAGTATGTAAAAGAAACAGTAGAGTGAATCATACCCACTGCTGGAAAGAGAGAATGAGAGAGAGAGGGTTCTTGCATGATGTGTAAGTGGTTGACAAAACAAGAAAAACTGGCATGTGAAAAGGTCTCTTGAAAACTGAGATACAGTGACCGCTCGCCAGCGCACTACACACCAAGCATCACCAATGACGGCCTCACTTGCCATCGCATACCGGGTGTTGATGTCATCTTTTCAGTAAGTATTAATTCTGCCTACAGTGGAGACTCCTGTGCTGCCAAGCCTCATCCTCATGTGAAGGAAAGTTCAGTAGGAAACTTCTGTGAAAGACTGTGAGTTAAATGTGGAAAAAAAAAACTTTGTTTGCATGACAAAGAAGTGACAATGGTAAAAGCATTGGTTCTGATGTGATGACATTTATACAGTTTTATATAATAATCTCAATCATTGATATGCCCCCTTATACTGCGCAGATATTGTAAAGAAAAGGAAGATATGTTAAATAATCTTGCAGGTGTACTGTATATGTTGGTTTATAAGATGGGTGCTTAAAATTTCCATTTTAAATGTAGGTTTTAAACTATATTTAGTGTATGAGACAATTCAAGGTCTGGAACCTAGCACTGAGATTTTACTTTTCCATTAAGCATTTGCCATCCATCCTGTTGATCACTGTTTAGCAAGCTGTTAATCAACACAGTCTTGGTTATTTAGAAAATGACTGGTTCATTTCAAATAATGCCAAAATACTGTTAGTTACCTATCATGATATGCATCAAGCATACCCAGCTGATGCAGCATAACCGCTAGTGATGTCACATTGATGTTGGAACTAATGTGTTACCAAGCATAATTTTACCTTTTAATGAAAATTATTTATAGATATTCTTACTGCTAAGTTTATTATGTTATATTAAGAAAGTGGCTGTAGATTACATTGCAGATATTTCCTTTAACTTACCTTCAAGTTTTGTTTGGGATTGTCAAATGGTAGGACCAAAGGAGTTATGTTAGTAATTTACTGTTGCTTTTGTTATTGGTGACACTCAAAACAACAGGTAGTTAAGGTTCAGATTTTGTACCTCATGCATGAGATGATCCCTGATTTTGGGATGATTTTTTTAAGGTTCAACTTCCATCGTATAAACCAACATATACAATATATGATTGATATGTCAGTGATGAAATGGTCCATATTTACTCTGTTTGAATTCTGTATTGCACTTGAAATCCTTGCCCACATCCTTGTAATAATTGAAACCACTTTAGAAGTCAGAGCCAAAAAAGTATATACAAGGTAAAATGTATTTCCACTAAGAAAGTAAACTATATTTGCAGTATTAAAGCAAATAAATGAAAAAGACTCTAGTATTATTGTTTAGCCACCATCTGCATTGCTTAAAACTATGTGACTTGTATGTTTGGAAGGCAGTGTTATTTTTAAAGTATCCACACAAATCAGGCTTATATATCACCCTGCACAAAGGCTCAGCATTGACACTTCTTTGCATGATATAGGGAAGCAAAACCTTTTTTTATTTTTAAAAATGTTTTGAAAGGGAAAAAGGTAACATGCCTAATATAGTGCCACTTCAACTTGCAGCAATAAATAATAGCTACTTGTAGACAGAACCACAGAAGTGCTTGCCATATTTCTTCTTAATCAGCTGTTTCCATTTATTGCATACAGGGCTATGCAGCATTATGGCATGTATGTTATCAGCTTTATTCCATAGGGCACTTATCAGTTACAAGGTATATTGTAAGACTGCGTTGATAAGGGACTTTTGAACTACCACCATTTTCTGACCATTATTTGTTGTCAGATATGCAAGATTTGAGGTTGAAAAGCCAGTATTGACACTTTATTTGAGCTATTGAGCATTCCAATTATGTAAAAGATGCTTTTTCAGTCAACTAGTACTTAAGTTTTACCACAGGAACAGAAGAAAGATCTGAGAGGAGAAATGGATATTTTGTATTGAGAAGGTGGAGATGAATGAGGTAGAAATTATATATACATATTTAGTGTTTTACCAGCTCTGTATAATCACTGAAGTTATGTGTGTCATGTCTGTCTGTTGTGGACAAGATCTTAGGTGAGAAAGCTGAGCTGTCAAGCCATTTTTGGAAATATGGATAGATGACACCAAGTACTTGGAAGGAAAATAAAGATGGAAAATAGAGACAAATGTGCGATATAATTAGTTACTCCAAATTCCAAATGCCCTTTGTTAATTGCAAGGAAATCTTTCTTTTGCTGTTGCCAAAAGTTTTTGAAATTGAAAATTTGTTTTCAAATATCCTCAAAACAATATTAAATCATGGCATGTTAATATTTTTGTGTTAATATGGGATATTTCATTGTCCATTCTTAAAAAGAAGCATTTTGAATATTCTTTCTTACTGGACTGTATGTTTTTTCCAATCAAACAAAAATGAGTTGGGAAATAATAAAGCCAAGTATAAAGAAAAAATGATTAAAAGATATTTTTTGCTTGTTAATTAATGCCTATTTTCACTTATAGTACATATCTTGAAATAAGATTTATCGTGTTGAGCTGTACATTAAATTCTTGCACTATTCTTTGATCAAGAAGGGACAGATTTTCATGACTTTGACATTGGGTCCTTGTTTGGAAGATGTATAACTTTAATCTGTAAAAAAAAGAAAGAAAACATTTGCAAGGAAAATTTAAGTATTGTTCCAAGTATACATAAAGGAGATGAAGCATGAGTATTAAAAATGTATTCGTTATACAAAGAGAGTTTATAAGCCTTTGACAGAACTAAAACTTCATTTTTCTCTTTTATCATTTGAATTTAATCCAATCTATGTGATAACCCCTTGACGGCGGTGTTAAGAGTAAAATGGAAGAATGAGAACAAATCAGAGATGCTTTCAGTTATTTTTGTGTTATTATCAGGGACTTTGTTATTAAATGTTTTAAGAAAGATATCTCGAGGAAGATCAGTTGATATCTGTAGTGTCAACTGTGTATTTGAAACTAATATGTATTCTATTTAAAATCTTCAGAAATCTAACTACGTATAATGAGCTATGGTTGCAGGGAGAAATGTTGTTGCATCATATCATCATAATGTTGTCTTGAGTGTTAGATTTGTCCACTAGGATAAGACCAAGAAAAGACTGTGATGGATTTATATTGCTACAGGAAAATGATGAGAAAGGGATAAACATTTTTGTCATTTGGATATCAGATTAGATGAAGGAGGACGGTGGATGATAATATTCTATTTGCTGCTCTTCTGTATGTATGTATGTATATTATTTCATTTTATTATGTAATTGATACAGGAAATAATATTCATCAAATCCAGTAATACATTGTTGATCAAAAATTTTGATAGTAGTTAAGACTACTCAGTTATATGCTGTAAATGAAAGCAAGGTTAGTGCAAATGCAGACCTTATTACCAAAATACTCACTGATATAACTTTTGATATTTGTGTGTGGAATATTTACACATACAAATATGGTATACATTGCACATCAGTCGATGTTCTGTATAAATTAAAGGATCATCTCTTCAGTGTAAATGATAAGCAATAGAAAACCGCTGTCAAGGGGTTAAATGTATTATTTGTGCCTGACTTGGTGGGTGCATCTTTGGAGCTGCGTTCGTGGAGGTTACAACACATCCTGGGCTGACAGGGTGAATGTGGAATCAGATACTTGCATACACCTGTGCCTACAGTCACTCTCATAATCTACATGCATCTTCATACTGACTAGCTCACACACACTAAAATCTACTGTCACACTCACATGTATATTTACACATACATGCTCAGAAGTATATATATTTGTATATATATGTGTATACATTTACATACCCATACACATGTACATGTACATGTACATATACTTGCAAACACATATGCAAATACATACCCACAAACACACACACAAAGATGGGTGTACACATATGTGCATACAAACATGTGCAATCACACACACTTATACACAATCACACATATGCAAGCACAGTTACATAGGCAAGCACAGACATGTACATGCACACACATACACGGATATGCAATCACACATATGCAATCACAATTACATAGGCAAGCACAGACATGTACATGCACACACACACACGCACATGCACACACACACACATGCACATGCACACGCACACACATGCACATGCACACGCACACGCACGCACACACGTACACGCACACACGTACACGCACACACGTACACGCACACGCACACGCACACGCACACGCACACGCACACGCACACACACACACACACACACACACACACACACACACACACACACACACACACACACACACACACACACACACATATTTATGCTTATATTCTCTGAAATTGAAAAGAGTAGTGTTCTCCCAGAGCACATCCATTACACCCAGACATAACCTTAAAATTTAAAAAAAGACATGGATATATGTTTATATAAATATGTATTTATATTTATATATATGTAAACATAAATGAGGATAGACTAAGTAGTTGGTTATTGGTCCCAAAATGTGGAGTGTGTTTAGTGGGTAAGATAATGGTTGATTTGAGTGTAATATTTTTTTCTTCTTCTTCACCCTCTTGTAGGTAGGAATTCTGTTTTTGTGACTTATACATCGAGTGTATTTAAAGAGCTGAAGTCGCAGGGCGTTGTTGTTGTACACTTTCCGAGTTCAGCCTGGAGTATGACCCTTAATGGCAGTCTCGGTCACGAGTTGCCAGTTAGATTTACGAAGCCTTGCTGTGGTCACATGTGAAGAGTATACAGGGTGATATGACTTGTTGTAGCCAAAGTTTAAGAATTTGAGCAGTAATTCATTACTTTTAAATTTAGAATTTGCTCCTGGATTATAATTTGTCACTTACAGCTGGTGCTAGATGGTATAATGATAGACAGAAGGCCAGCTGTGTCAGAGGCACTACAAGTGTTAACATTGTTGAGACAGATGATGATAAAGTAACTCACTTTTACTTCTAAACTTTGTTTTTTAAGATTGTTTGCTTTGATTGCATATAATTCATTATTATTATTTTTTTATAATTATTATTGGTTATTGATATTGATATCATTATTAGTATTAATATTATTATTGTTATTATGTTACCATTATTATCATTATTATTGCTATTATCATAATCATTGTCATCATCATTATTATCATTTTGATAATGATTATAATGACTATTATTATTGAAATAATGATTATGATAGTTGTTATATTATGATAATGAAATGTTATTCTTGTTATACAGATAACAATGATAATGTTATTGTCCTTTTTACATTTTTTATAGCTGGTATTTTAATTATTGTTACATTGATTCATTTATTTTTATTATTAGTGTACTGTCAATGATAGCATTATCAAATCTGATGATAGCATTATCACCATTACTATTATTAAGGGTAATGTCAATATGTGATGAAATTCCTTTTGAGTTATTTGTTGAGAGAAAAAAATCCAGTCCAAAAAGATCATTATATATTAAGAGGAACACAATGCTAATTATGTTGTAAAGTTTCTAATGAACAGGTTGGATAAGCAGATGGTATTAGGAGTGGACATGTGACACAGACAGGCTGTACATAAAAGAAAAAAAAAAAGAAAAGAGAAAAAAAAAAGTTGTCCCTTTGTATCAATGAGCTATTTTTGTACTCAAGATGTGGTGACCTAGAAGTTAGTCATTGCTATGATGATGATGATGATGATGATGATGATGATGATGATGTAATATACAATTATTATTATTATCACTCTTGTACATCCCCCCACCCCCATACCCCCATACCCCCCCTAACCATGAGAGTGTGGGGCCCCTTACTGTGAGTAGCTGATAATTGTGTTGGCAAGGAACTCTTGACTCGGCCAGGTGAAGCCAGCCAGGAAGGGAGAGGATGGAGAAGAGGAGTAGGAGGAGGAGGCAGCAAGAGATGAGATCAGGAAGAGGTTGTGGTGTTGAGAGGAGGTGAAAGGAGGAAGAGGAAGTGGTGGTGAGAGGTGAGAGGAAGAAGAGAAAGAGATGGTGGCGAGAGGAGGTGAGAGAAAGAAGAGGAGGTGGTCAAAGAGAAAAGAGGTTGTGGTGAGAGGAGGTGAGAGAAAGAAGAAGAGGTCAGAGGAAAGAGGTGGTGGTAAGAGGAGGTTTGAGCAAGAAGAGGAGGTCAGAGGAAAGAGGTGGTGGTGAGAGGAGGTGAAAGGAGCTACTTCTGGAGTGTGAGAATGAGATAGAGAGAAAGAGAAAGAAAGACAGAGAGGAAGATATGTATGGTGAGTAAACATTCTTTATTGGAAGTAAATGGTGCATTGGTGAGATTTTTTTAATTACTTTTCATACAGTATATACCAA